ATTCTAAAAGACTCAGAGAAGGAAGTTGTTCATGACATGCGCAGATAACATTGTTCTCAAATGAAATATAACACCTAAAATCGAGTAACACCGTGACTATCACGCAATAAAAAAAAAAACTTTGCAATGCGTTTCTCGGCCTCAGGAAGAAACATCGTTCAAAAAAATTACAACGGCATTCTTTTAAGGTTCACATGAACAATAAGCAACCTTTCTTTTCTCCTAAAGCTGGAGACGAGTTTTCGTTAGAGTTGCTTCTACACAACAACGCGTGATTCACTTCATACCACCTCTTACTACAGGTCACGCATCTTAACGAGGCACGCACGGCAGATTTCAAATAGCATTTTTTTACCAAAACTACTGACGAGTGATGCATTCGTCTTCTTAAGTTTTCAACATTTTTAAAGGCCGGAATCCGCCCCTCCCCCCCTCCCCCACCCCCTTAAAAACACGGCCAGAAACTCTTAACTTCGACGCTCGTAGTTGCTACTTAATCCCAATCAAAACCTCCCTCCTTCTCATTACTTACTGTTGGAGTCTGATTAGCAAAGCCAAACTGTAAACCAAGCCTTGGAGTCTGTTCCTCTGACGTCTCCATCATCGATCCTTCCAAAGACTGGCTAGGCGAGAAGGACTGACCTAGATGGACCTGATCAGAATATTGTACGCAATCAACACATGGACAGAGAGTCGGATTGTCCTGCAGGGATTAAAGAAAGGAACTCTGCGACTGATTTTAAATTACAGGATAAATGCTCTGGATTTAAGGTAAGTATTTAATGCAAGGATTTTTGTGTCTTATTCTCATGGGAATGAAAAATGTTAATGTTAAAAATATATTTTTAAGCTGACGCCTACAAAGGAAAAGCATAAAAATGTCAAAATAATTACTTCATAAAGCTCTACTAAAGAATTATTGACCTTAGACCTATAACTTGCAATTTATCTGTGCAAGCTCAAATAGTAAAGATAAAATCTGAATTGAACCCTGAGTCAAACACTCAGAAAGACCAGCTTCATGTTGTAAGGTGCCGCTCATTTTTTATCGCCTATGGGGGGCTGGAGGATTTTGGTTGTGTCACGAATTCATTTACCTGCTTCTCCCATAATATACTTATGATTCTTCATTAACAATCAATTGGCGGTCAGTTTTCTATAGTCCCCCTTAAAACTCTGTTAGCGGCAACCGATCAGCCTCTGTTCCTCGAAAACCATATAAATGCCATCCCCCGTCCCCTCCCCCCTCAAAAAAAAAGGAAGATGAATCGTCCCTCCCCGGTGATAAATAAAGTGTTTGGTCTCTAAAACTCTTCACATAACTCAATTTTAGTCTTTGAAAAAATTTACTCGTGCTCATTTATTCCAAACTGAACTCGAAATCATGCGATTAACTCTACAAATTCAAATTGGTTAGCGTCTAGTTGACTTTGATTGCCTCAGCAATAGATGTAGCTTCAGCATTACTAATACCATTGCTAAACAAATTCAAATTGGTTAGCGTCTTGTTGAATTTGATTGCCTCAGCAACAGATGTAGCGCCGGCTTCACTCATACCATTGTCAGACAAATCCAGATTGGTTAGCGTCTTGTTGACTTTGACCTTTGGCCTCAGCAATAGATGTAGCACCGGCACCACCAATACTATTGTAATACAAATTCAAATTGGTCAAACCGTGAGTGAAAATCACTCTTTTGTCTTTCACATTCGTTAATAGCCTCCAATACAACTTTTAAACTGCTGCTTTCATTTTCGCTGACTTAATTTGTTAAACTCTATACAAGAGCCACGACTTGTTCATTGCATTTCATGGCTAAAATTCCGCAGAAAAAAAGTACCTCTTCAAGTTTAACAAAATACCTTGGATCGGAAAATAGTTCGTCAGGTCTAATCTCCTTGCTTTGAATCTGAGCACAAATGAAGAATGCTGCAAATAATTCTTGAAAACTTTTATGCAAGAAATCCAAATTCAGTGAACTCTTTTGCATGGTTTCCCAATTCACTTTCACTCAAATACTTGGTGACAAATCCTTTCACATGAAATCCTACGATCTGAAGCAGCGTGTCACAGCTAGCATTTTCTTACCACTTTTCCAGCTTCTTGTCTTGCTTTTGCAACTATGTGGCATCTAGGGAGTACTCTTCCTTCAATTAATTCGTAAAACATCGAAAATTGGCTGGATGGTAACTCATCCAATCCATACAATATCAATAAAATGATATTGTTGCTTGATTTCTTCATCGATGTCTCGGGGCAGAAGTTGCTCATCAATGGCTCCCCAAACATCAGAATGCATTTCTCGACATTTCCGCAACAATACTGCTTTGAATGCTGTGAAGTCGCTGTTCTGAGGTGCTTGCTTTTTAGTGGCCCAGTCGTAGGCGTACTTTTTACAATAGGTGGTTTTGCTCATACCAGGTTCTCCTTCAATCAAAACTGTTCTCGGCGCTGAACACTCTTCATATGGGTCTAGTATTGACGACATGCCAACAAATACGTTACTGATTTTTCCTCTCGTTTTCTTTCTTCTGACCACTTTGAGACTTGTAAAAATATAGCCAAGAAAAAACTGATACTGTTCACACCATGGAGACGGTGAGAGCCATCCCCCGCGAGTCTTGTGCAGCTGGCGAATTCCACTGGTAAGCTCAGTTAGATCAAAAATACCTAGCAGTAGCAAAATAAGTAAGAAATCTAATGAATGCAGCATTGCGAGTAAGAATCACATATCAATGACCATATGCTCGCAATATGCAGGAAGTCTATCTCCAAGGACATAGTTAATCGAGCTAGCTTGCCACAAGTCTACTGTATGTAAGCGTTAGAGTGTCCGAAGTACTGAACAGAAGCTGGTAGGTTTGAGTCCCAACTGAATAAGAGTCGTACGCACTCACTAACCATCTATTTCCATTAAATTTCAAAATCATGATATTGCATATTTCTAGTGTTCTTATTAGTTCTCTGAATTTCAGTTATCATCTGATATACAACCTGATATGGAAATGATTTATCTAAGTGTCGCTCAGCTGAATCTACTTTTGGCTGGAAGCAATCACTTCTTTTAGCATACTGGAAATTAATCAAAGCAAATGATAGTCAACGTCAAATCGGTAACAAAAAGTAAAATTAAAAAAGTTCAATGTAACCTCATTGAATGGTACTTATATTTCAAGTTTCACTTACAGCGTTTGCACTAGCTTCATATCAATGCTTTATGGTCAAGAAAAGGTATAACGTTGCCACAACAGAAAGAACAGCCGGTTACCTTAAAAATTTCATCATAGGAATTACAGAATTTGTGTTGAAATATCTACGCTCTGACAGGATCTTTCATTACAGAAACTCAACTTTGATTGCGCGTCTGTTCGAGTAGCCATAATACTGGTTTCTCCGTTCGCTACCACGCAGCAAATATTTGAACATTAGGGCATAACTCTCTGTACTGATTTAACCAAATGTTTGTCTCAGTAGGAATATAACCCTTAACTCATACACTCGAAGCGAGAAATTGAGGTCAGGATATTGAAACGAAAGCTATCCTCGATCACAAGCTTCGCTTCGTTCCAGTTAAACACAACACTTAATCTACCTGTTCACAAAATTTTTCGCTTGCCTATTGTGTACAGCTGAATAAATTGCTTGCCTTGAATTTTCATTCAGCTTCGAACGTAACTTAACCGTTGCTTATGTGATTCAAGTTTTTGCCGTTTTGACGATCAGATATGATATTGACTTCAGGTGGCTTTAATTTGAAGAAAAATTGAGAGTTAAAACGGATTACCAAAAAGTGAAAAAATTTAATAACTCAATAATTCCATTGGCTCTTTTTTCTGACTTTAATTGAAATTTTGATGTCTAGAAAAGCCAAAGAAGTGTCCAAAATTTCCCAGTATATTTCAAAGCCAGGCGAAATGAATTGATAACGGTTATTAATTGAGTCAGCTCATCTCTGGTAGAGGAGGTGGCGCTGATACAGTCGTCGATGTAGCGACCGTAGAGTTCAGGTTTGGGGCCTTTGCATTGACTGAGAAATTGGTGTTCGATAAAATCTACGAAACAATTGGCGTAGCTGGGTCCCATTTTACTTTATTAAAAGCAATTAACTTTTCTACCCGCATTTTTCACCCCATGGCTCGGGTGTCATCTTTCCTTGAATGTTTTCTTCAATACACCCATTTCATTTACATAACGATAAAACAAAAAGACCAGAGTGTCTATTAAGAAGCTTTTAACAAATCATATTTTATTCCAGCGTCAATCTGAACTACATATTAACCTAACAATTTTTTTCTGCTTCATGAAGCCTCTGCGTTTGGGTTTGGGTTTGGGTTTGGGTTCGATCAAATTCTTAATCCACATATTTTTTTAAACACGTGGAATTCAACGTCTCCCTTTTACTTTCTTTGGCTACACAGGTTTTCTGATGGGGTCAATTTTTTAAATCCAATTGACAGAATGAACCGACAGGAATCTAGAGGTAACATTTCATCTGTACAAGCTCATTGGTCAAGTCGTGCGGTAAATTATTCCATAGGTTCCTGTTTCTGACTTGGTGGATACGAGATTGGTATAGGCAGTTCATATCAGGCGCGGGCTCATGGAACAACTGTTAAATAGAGTGCACATATTATAATAAGTATATACAGTAATTGTACGAAAGACAAAGGTTCTTTGATTACGGCTTACGTCCATTTCTTAGGCAAGACCACTGAATTAAGAAAAATACGGGGACTTCGATTCATTAACCGGTTCTAGGCGTTCATTTAGTAAAACAGAACGAAATAAATGAACTGCGCTATGGTACCAACAAAACAGTACGCGACCCGACCCACCCCTGGCCCGTTTTTTTCACTCAGCTGCTATCATCGCATCATTTACTATAATAACACTTTGCATTTGCAGGAATTGTACGTGAAAAGTTAAGTGGTTTTTTCAAAGACAATACTCTGGACGCCAGTAATAGCAATGTACACTGTATGTCCCGTTACAAATCCATTTATTTCCTCTTTCGTGACAAGCGCAGTTTACGTGACGATAACTACCAATAATTCCCAGAGCACTAACTTTTGTTGACTGTTCCAAAATTGTATGGTCAGCACCCGTTCTTATTATTTTATTTTTTTATCCTCTCCAGGCTACTCGAGAGAGCACTAATGATTTAATAAACATCTCCAGGGGTAAAACCTGTGCATTTTAATGGTAGGTGTTAAAATATTATCACACTTTCGCGACATGCTCCTGATTGTGGCGACAAATACTAGGAGATAAAGTTATTTACCTGCATAAATCAGATCTTAAAATTTAGCTTCTTGTGGTCTTACCATACCATGTATTTCACAATTTCTCTACATTTCGTTTCCCGTAGAAAAGTTAGGAAATAGTCATTTCCATCTGGGCAAAAATCTTCAAAATTTTATATACAATTTTCAGCAAATTCATCTCTCAAAGCTAAGACGATTGCACAAGTAATGTGCCAATTATAATTTTTATTAGGATAAGGCTAATTTTTAATTAATAATACTTTCAGTGTAAAAGTATTTCGAGTTAGTATCGCAGGTAGATGCGGTCTTAGGGAAAGCAGTTTATGCGCCGGATAGCTTTCCTAAAACCAAGCGGGTTTTGCGGCAAAACAATTTTTTAGCAATTTACTGAAACTGCAAACAACTACGGCATACAGAACGAGATCTCATCAATCTAGTTAATTGGATATTTTCCGCACTATCCTGCCCTTCAGAATTGAGTCAGAAAATAAACTGAACTCCAACGCTTGTGTCGAGCATGCGTGTAAGTGCTAAACATGTAAAAGAGAAAATGAGAGTATACTTTATCGGTAAACTGATAAAAGCGTTACAGCGTTTAAGAATATAAAATCAATTGAGTTATAACGTTCCAGCCTAATTGCTTAACACAAAATGGCTTTTTCTACCAAGTAAGCGTGTGAGGAAAAGATGATTCAGCCCTGAAACTTGTTGTGGCAAAGTGTTCAAACTGTTAGCCGATCATATACCGCGGAAATCTATCTAACTACACCATTAAATCCTCGACGTTTGCATACAACTGCTTGTCGTACATTGTCATGTTGATCAACTTCTGCAGAAAAGAATAATATAATAATTGGCATCATTAAAAAAGTGTTCCTCTTACGTTATAAGCGTTTATCCTCCCAAGTGGTCAGTTTTTCACACCAAAACCAATTCAAGAAAGTATTTTACGGTGTCGTTTGCTGCTCTTTGTGCGTATCAATACAATTTTGCAATAATCCTACCATCTTTTAAATAACCATAATGAGTCAATTGTCGCAAGGACATTCTAGTTCGCTTCCTCCTTGTTTTTCGTGGAGTGCTAGCTTCAGTGACATAACAAGAACATGCAATCCCAACTGCGTAAAAAGTACGCTATCTAAGCTAAACGCTATTAAGTTTAAAACCCTAATTAGCTAAGCCTAAGTTAGTCGGTCTAACCTGAAGAAAATTCTCACCTTGTGTAGGGTTTCCATGTCCTTAAGCAGATTTTTCAATTCAGTAAAAGTTGGTCTTGCATCTGGGTCATTCTTCCAGCACTTCATCATAATCTGATACCTGGTATTGTTCAAATGATCTGTTAGAGATTTAAAGAACGTTTCCTTGTAGGATGAGAGAGGACGAATTGAAAAAAAACTTACAATTCCTCATCAACGTGTTGTGGTTTAGGCATCCTGTATCCTTCCTGAAGTAAGTTTGCAATTTTTCTTCCATCCATTTGTGGGTAAGGTGAACCACCTGGAAGAGCCATAAGACCATCGAAATATAAATGTGACGAAAAAACGACCTTCACTGAAACACCACCCATGTCATTTGATGTAGTTTGAAGCTCTTTACGTTTGTCTAAGTGAACACCTTACATTGCTTAATTGAACATGGTATATAGCAAAAAACATATACAGGGCCTAATAAATTTCCATTCGATGTTACCTATGGTAAAAATCTCGTACAGCAAAACTCCATAACTCCATCTGCAGAAAGACAAATCAAACAAATATATATTGGGTAACTGAAGACATAAACATTTTATACGACAACTAAAATATATGTATTCTTCGACAAAGCATAGAATTCATGTCCTGATTAAAACTGATAAAACTTAGAGAAAGATGTTTTTCGTCTTGTCACGATTGTGGGACGAAGGAAAAATTTTGAGTCCCCACGAGGAATTGAACCTCAGACCTTCGGATTCCGCGCTCCGATTCTCTCTCTTATTTTTATTTACAAACATGACTCTATCGACATTGCTGATCCTTGCAGTATGCAAGAGAGTAGAGTCGTAGAGTCTCTGTGGCTCAGTGGTATGAGCATCGGAGCGCGGAATCCGATGGTCTGAGGTTCGATTCCTCATGGGGAGTGAAGAATATTTTCATTGTCCAACGCTCGTGAGAGGATGAAAAACATCTTTCTCTATTTCATTACCGAGCCCAAAACTTACCCTTCCTCTTATTCTATTGGTAAAACTTGTTAGAAAATTGCTACGGGTAATAATCGGGTATACTTACACATCACTTTTGGTGGTATATTTACCATACATTAAGGCCTCATAAGCTGTCCACTTCACTGGAAGACGGCCCTAAAGATTTCAAATATCACTTTTTGAAACAGCTAAAAAATTATAGGAAGCGACCGGTCAAAGACAGTAATATTTAAAATTATACTCGTATACAAATGGCTGTTTTCATTATGGTCCCATCCAAGGATTTTGTCATCGAAATCAGGAGTATATCAGCTTTATCACAACAATGATTGTTAAAGATAATTAAACTGAACGATATGTAGTACCGCCCCCACCTCCCCTCTTTCTTGATTACCTTAGTCTTTCGTTCATAAATATTTTCCTGCTGCACATCTCTGGCCATTCCGAAGTCTGTCACTTTACAAGTTTCCTTTTGTCCAACCAACACATTACGAGCCGCAAGGTCTCGGTGAATGATCTAAGAAAGCATTGATACGAGAGCAAAAATTAGCGATTTCAGAAGAAAATGAACTGAAATGAAATGATTCAGATAGGAAAATAGATATATCCAGCGACATAATATGGTGTGTGTATTTCTCTTTCTTCCAGATGGCAGAAAATTAAAATTACTATAGTTACTGCTCCATCTTCCAAAGCGAAGCAAACTACTTCATTTCTGCAATACCTAATTATTTCGTAGAAAGCTTATCTTAAGATTTTATTCGAAATAGGTTTCTGTTATGTAGCAGTTTAACAACCAAAGACGAATTTTTGAATTTCAAGTTTTAATTCCTTTTCTTTCTTGTCACTAAAATGGATATTCGTTGTACACTCAGTTTAGGCTGAATAAAAGATCCTATTCATTCACATCTCTGCCTTTGCATACACGAGAAAAACCCAGATATTTAATTTCGATGAGGTGCACTTGCAGCGATGCGCAAATATGGCCATTCGCACACTGAAATATAACTTTGGTGATGACGTCAAAACTGGTAGGGTTCCCGGAAACAGCCTCAACGAGACGGTAAGAATACGTTTGCATATCCCGGGCGTGATCTTGTGAAGACATATTATTCTATGCAAGACATAGCCTCACCTGACGATACACCTTACAAGAAGGTTTTAAAATTGTTCTTCTTTGGTGCCTTTGTAATTAACTTACAGATTTTGAGGACAAATAACTCATTCCATCAGCAATTTGCCAAGCAAACTTCATCAGCTGCTGTGACGTCAGATTTGTTTGTGGTTTGATATCCGGGTCTTTGAAGTAAGTGTCTTTTAATCCACGGCTCTTTCTCAGGTAACCCAGCAGATCCCCAAAAGGCACATATTCAATCAAAACCAGCAGCTGTTCTGAAGAAATTAAACAGTTTCATTTAAATATTTCTCCCTCTAAAAAAATTAGCAATAAGTAAAATAAATAAATAGCACAGTCAGGTTCAATACTTTTGAAGAAATCGCGCGAAAACAAGATGTAGTTTTACGAAGAAAAGCTGAAAAACTTTGTAACGGTCTCATAAGAAGATACAGGCCAAATATTCCCTTAGAAAAAACGATTCTGTTCATACAACAGAATGGCTTGGACAATGGCAAATATTTGGTCTTCGTCTATCAGCAAATCCAAGAGCGTCGCTGTTAGCTAAAAAAGGATAAAATTACCATATGCGATGGTTGTTTGTTGTGCGCGATTGTGAAGCAGTGAATCTTCCATTGACGCAAATTATCAATGACGAGAAAGCGTTACAGAGTAAATCAGATGCAAAATGTGTACAGCAAAATTGGACCTCATAATCAAAGCTTACCAGATTCTGTAACGCATCCCAGAAGTTTAATGACATAAGGATGTGGTTTCAGCTGCTTCATTGTGTCAAGTTCTTTCATCAAATCTCTCTTGTCCGATTCAGTAGCGTTTGCTGGAGCGTTAAAAACAAGGAGTAAAATTTGGTTAACGGAAATAATATGCAAAATGTCGAATAGCGACACAAGTTATCGAATGACAAATAGCCAAAAGTTACGTAACCCGGTAACAGTATATGACTGTAGGCCAAGACTGTCATTCAATTTACAGTTCAAGAACTCACTTTTAAGCATCTTAATAGCCACTGTGGTCGCTTCAGGACTCCCTCGAAGTCCTACTGCTGTTCCCTTGGCAACCTGACCAAAAGCACCTTTACCAATAATTTTTTCTATGGTCACGTGGTGTCTTGAAACTTCCCAGCAGCGTGTTAACGGATGAAGAGGCACGTAATCAGCACCTGAAGCGGCACTTTGTGCTTTTCTATCATGTTTATTGACTTCTATGAGATCCATATATTCCGCAGGAGGCTGGGTGAGTTTTGCTGAATCGGGTAGACTTGGTTCGCTATCTTCTAATCCTGTTTCATTCTATTAAACCAACATACCGTTAAGGTATCATATACAAATCTGTTATTAATCCCAATAAAATTTCCTACATTTTCATAAAAATCAGTTAACCGTTTTCATCAGACAAGCGTTTATATTATTTCATAGCAAGAGATTATTAATAGTTTATAATCTCTTGTCCTTAAATATTACTAATATTTATTATTACTAACACTTTGTTCTCTGCCATTGAAACTATCATGTCCAATGCAGTGATCGAGGTTCATAGCATATTCGTTGAAGCTACAAACCGCAACATGAAGATCGTCGATTGGTAGTGCGATTTTTTGACAAATGCACACACGAAAAAAAAACTCTTGCTGTACTAAGCTCCTGGACTAACGCTTGGAAAATAAGGCATCAAGATAAAGAGACGGCCAAAACGGCGTGAAAAAAAAATCATTTACAAAACAAATATCAACCGGGTGCAGACCAGTTTGCGATCTATGAAGTGAAACCACGCAGTTGAACCAGGGACAACCGAAGGAAAATCGATGGAGCAGCTTGGTAAAGGACATGATCCCAGGACAAAGATCCTATCGAGTCAAACTTCTTTCCATATTTTATTGTGCCTGTCATTAATGCATTATGCCTTTTTGGCAGAACTACACCTTTTTCCTTCCTATTTGTTGCAAGCGTTTATTTCCTTCTAGAGAGTAGAGGTAAAGTGAGATTACATAATTACTGGCCACACTAACATGACCTCAATGTCTTAGCTGTAACTTACGTAGGAAACACCTCTTTCATCTTCATAAGTCCTACAATTGAGAAAGCATAAAAATATTTATTTTGAGGAAAGAATCAGTTTAAGTGGAAGTTTGTTATACGATGATACCATATCTGGAACATTACATTGACACAATCCAAGTGCCAAATTCTTACCTCTGTTTCCCTACAGCGCCTGAAAAAGAACGAAAGGAAAAAAAAGACAAATGATGTGGATGTAGGTCAAGAGTTGCTTTTGCTTAATAATGAATCTTGCAGCCAAACCCTCTATCATAGATTATGAATTTTTTACCTACCTTTCTTATGTAGCCAGATTATGTAAATAATTAGAAGAACGATTGTGAAGGCAAGAACCCCATTTATGGCTAACGAGACGTTGTTAGAAGGGCAGTTACATTCCTCAGGACCTAAAATGATTCAGTTTACAAAGCTTGATCAGATAACATTCAAACAACATTTACAGTGATCGTGGTCAATACACTGCTCTCACTACATAGCTTATGCTCTAGAACGAAAACCGTTAACTCGAACTGGCTAGGTGCTAAGGAAAAGCAAGGTGCTACTCTCTCTATAATAATTTTTAAAAGTAAGATTTTGTTTAATTTAATAAAAACAACAACAGCGGCGAAAATAAAACTTGGAAATATATGAATCACAGAAATGACTTGTTTAATTAAACAGATACGGAATACAATTAAAAATGTCCATCTTCGGACGAATACGTGTAAACACTTAACAATAATATTTCTTTGTAAAACATACTTTTTGTTGTGCTTTCCGAGCCGTCTGTGGTTATAAAAACTTGTTTAATTGATTCTGGATCGACATTGAAACCTCCGAATTTCTCTTGCCTTGCAGCATCCAACAGGACAGTCAAAACATTGCTGACGACTACACTTCGATTGAACCTCATCATGAAGTCGAGAACAACACTGCCACACCTAGGTAAGGGGGGGAAGGATGTAAAATGCCGAATCGAACACCGTACCGAAAAGAGTAAGACGCATAAGTTATGACTGATTATACAGTCGGTATTATACAAAACGAAATCGTGGGAAGAGTTCCTTTAGGTTTTCAAGTAGTTTCTTCATCCGCTTTTACATTCTTCACCTATTCAAACATTTGTCACCTTTGGAGAATATAATTACATTTCCTATTCCTAATATTTGTTTATCTCTCCCTTGAAAGCTTATTACGATTACAATACAAAGCCATTTGTTACAATAAATAACATTTTCATTATAGGACCTTGTTTCTGTCTTTGCTCTGTGAAAAAAATTGTCGCTACCTTAATTTAAATAACGTTACTTGAGAAATAGTTAAACAGGTTATGAGTTAGGAGAACCGCAGTACTTAAGTTACGCAACGTTACACTTGGGGATATAGGCGTCTTGTGGTCTGTTTTGACTTATTATAAATGAGTAGCCTAAAGATTAGAAAGAATCCAGCGCCAAACAAAGTATGTTACCGAAAGGACAGAGTTTACAGCGAGAGCAATTCGACGAAGGCGCACCTTGCGTGACAAAAATTGAGTAACCACACGGCTTCAATTGCATAATCAGTCATAATTTATGCATTGTGCTCTTTACGGCACGGTTCTCTATTCGGCATTCTATTTGTACTTTGGTGACTTTCAAGTGTTAAAATACATTGAGATTTAACCAAAAGAGTATTTTTGATCTAATAAACCAAGGTAAATAAAATTAATTCATGTCATTCTGTGTCAATCTGTTGCTGTACATTAAATAAAATGTACTTCAAATGTAGATTATTTTGCATTAACTAAGATTTTTTAGAGCAGAAACATCAATTTTAACACTAAAATACGCCAAACTGAGATAAAGCTCCTCTCCGCCCCAGAACACAGATTTGTGTTAGCTTTTGTTGTTTCAGTGTTGAGACAAACTGCACCTTACCTGGTGTTCACGGTGTTGGCGGATGAGCAGCCAAACTTAAAGGCAATTTGACAAGCCTAAAAGCACATTTAAAGAAAAAATGTAAATTTGAATACTTGTTTGATTCGTAATTGAAGATCGCTCAAAATGTCATTTTGTTTTAACAGAAATATTGAGATTTCGGTCAACAATAGATTGATTAAGATTCCCTTTTAATGATAAATATCATGGCAGTATTCTATACACTACGGTACACAGATCAAGTAGATTATCTAACCATTTCTGGAAATTTCGCAGCAACTTCTGAACGTGTGCTACAGTTCCCCTGTATCGTCGCTGTCAGGTAAACTTCTGTGCTTTCTGAAGCTGAAGAAAAGCCGTGTCCTTTTACATTTACGAAAAACATGAAGAGCCTTGGTTCACAAAAACTGCCGAGAAGTGGTTCCATCTAACAATAATGCAGCTTGAACATTGTTATGACTGTTTGTGAGTCTACAGTCCTTCGCTAAGTTCCAGGCCTTCAGTGACCTAATTCACTCTTTTTCTTTTACTCAAACTCATTTTGTAACACTAAATAATTACTGACCCTCATAAAATCCTATTGTTCTCTCTCAGCATTATATCGGCGATTTCAGCCTGAGAAAATATGAAGATATGAAGGGGCGACTGAAATCGTCGATGTAATGCAGAGAGAGAACAATAGGATTTTATGAGGGTCAATAATTATAATAGTTAATTACTGAGGTTCGCAGCATTATTGGGTATAATGCTGCGAACCTCAGTAATTATCTATTAAAGAACATGCTATTATGATTACATAGTTTCACATGTAATAAAAAAAAGAAAACGCCTATAAAAGAACATTTACCTGCGGGAGTTGTTTGGGATGAGGTGGCAACTGTACTTGAAACTGTTTGAACTGGGAAAAAACAAAATACGTTTTAAAATGATCGACAAGCAATTTTAAATTTTATGTCATCATCATACCAACCTCAAATCACATGATAATAATAATAAGTTAGCTTAAGTAATTTTTTTCACGGAGGTTCAGGGTATGATAGACTATACTTCCTAGAACTGTTATTATTATTCATATCATCGTCACCAAAATTATTATCATTGATATTATTATCATTGATATTATTATCACTGATATTATTATCACTGATATTATTATCACTGATATTATTATCACTGATATTATTATCACTGATATTATTATCACTGATATTATTATCACTATCATCATCATTATAATTATTATCATTGTCAATACTATCACTAAGAAGTACCCAAAATGTCAGAGAACTACAGAGAGGTCCATAAAATCTTAGAGCAAAACTGACCTTTTTAGTGTTAAACTCAATAGAACATAGAATACTAATACAAATATCTAAGTACACATATAACAACAAGACTAACGACAGAGCTACATAAGAAAGAAACGAACTTACAATTTGTGGCGTAATTAGGTCTGGTAATGAAACTCTTAAACAAAAGTAACACGGCGCTAGCAAAAATTAATGAAAAGACTGACTTATCTGAAATCAACTAGTAATGAAAAGTATGTAACTAAAACAAAGCTTGTACTAGCGAGAAATAAAGTGCTACCAGCACTACGTAATTCTTACACAAACTCATGCAAAAAAGCGGGCTTAATTGAATCGAAACAGAACATCACAATAGTAGTTCAATTGAAAGAAAAACAATATAAAATATTTCCGCAGTTACTTGACAATAGACAGAAATTCAAATTCTAGTTGCTACATTCCAACCCCTTAAGTTTACTTTAAGTATTGGGCGATCGGATCGGATAAATCCATCCCTTCCTGGGTGAACTTCGAGAACGCGACCCAAAGGCCGCCGACTGGAGTGAAATCTTTCATCAGGAATTAAAACCAGGTTACCCACAGCAAAACTATGACGTGGTCTGATCCATTTCTGCCGTTCTTGCAAATTTAACAGATATTACGAAAACCATCTCCTCCAAAATACGTCAGGAAGGTATTGAACCAGCTTCCAGCGACGATGGCAGTACAAATCATCTTAACGAAGACTCCTGGTGGCAAATTTAAATGCCATCGAAGTAACAAATGGTCAGTAGTCGAAGATGGTGAATCAATAGGACTGCATGCCATTGTTAAGAGTCAATGGTCAACCATTGAGAATTCCATCAACTCCTGCCATCAACGTTGGCAGTGCGTCTCCAAAACCAATTGTTGCTTAAAAAGGGCTCTTAAGATCTTTCTCACTAAACGAATCATGCGTTCATGGAAATTAAACTTCCTCTTGATGTTCTCCTGATGAAGGAAAACTTCTACCTTCTGCTGATTCCAGTTGTTCAGGGCTTCAGGGATTTCTCTCTCTCCGCTACTTAAGTTCATACCATTGTTACCTCTTATCATTTTTGGCGTCCCTCTTCTGCTGATGAATCTGCATAGAGCGCGAACAAACGATTCTGTTTCCAGAGACTCGGTCACTTCAATGTGGATTGCTCGGATAGTTAAGCAAGAGAAAAGACACCATAGCTTTTAACTGTACTTCTGCCTTGCTTCACATACAGTGGGCCAAAGGAATTTATGCCAACGTTAGAAAACAGGGGTTTATCTGGAATAAGCTTGTTGCCAGGTAAATCTAACATCAATTGTTGGCCCTTTGCAGCATTTTTTTTTTAGCATGTCAAACAGTTACTGAGTACACTTCAAAGAGCAGCCCGTCCCTTAAAGATCCAGTACTTTTTTCTCAAACTGGTCTGGACATATTCTTGACCTAGATGACCCACAGACTAATGAACATCCATAATGAGCAGTTTGGTAACATGGTGCTTTGAAGGTGACAACAATTGATGTCTCGATTGTTAATCTGATGAAGAATTTTGAAGCCGACCACCGACTCTCAATATTCCCGCTCCATCCAGAAATGGTCTCAATTTGTACACTGAACCAAATGAGCCAATAATCTTCAATTTACGCTTCTCAGATTCGCCTGGGCTCAAGTCTGGGAGGGCATTAAACACTGGCGAGAAAGCTAATTTTTACACGTATGTGATGATTTGAGCCTCTGCATGTCGTAATTCGTCCATCGACAGCAGTCCACAAGGTAATGGATCAACAGGATCCTCTTGTAAGTACCTCTTGCTCTTAAGGAATTTTTTTAAAATCTCAGACGCCAAGCAACTCCCTTCTGAAGCTTAAACCATGACGAATATTGCAGAACCATTAGGTTCAGTGGTCCTTCATGAGGTCCCCTCTATGAGAGTAACATGCTTTGTTCGAGCTTGACCCTGACCGCTCGGTCTGACTAAAGAGACTGGATAAGTGGGCTACGATGTTTCACTTTCCTAAAGAAACTTAGGGCCTCTGAACCAAAACTCCCTCTTTAATAACTCCTTTACCGTTAGTCCTCGGCTGGCATCGTCAGCTAGGTTGATGCTTGTTGGCACAAAGTTCTACTGGGAAGGCTCTGAGCCATCATGTATCACTGTCAGGCAATTGGCCACAAACATGTAGAATCGTTTGTCTCTTTGCTCGTGATATATTGGAGGACAGCTCTGGAGACTAACCAAAACACTGTGTTGAACTTCTGATTCATTCTGACAGCTAAAACAGCAGCTGACAATTCCAATCTGGGTATAGTCATCAGTTCCACGCGAGCCAAGCGAGATTTCCCAGCGAGGAGACTGCAATGGGTGCGGCCATTTTCAAAGACGAGTTTTGCATATGAAACAGTCCCATAAGCAATCTGAGAGGCATCTGCGAAGTCGTGAAGCTCTACATTATGTACCCAGCCAAAGTCGATTGTTTTCAGACATATTGGTAAGGCAACACTTGAAAGCATAGGTAAATTAGATAGCCATCGTCTCCAAAACTGACATTACTTTCCCACTATCTCTTCATCCCAGGTGAGTCCTTGTTTGCAGAGATCTTGAAGTCACTGATAGAATCCCTCTTCGTGTGAAGGCCTTATCCTTTAGTACCATCTTGAAAGTAAACATGTCGCTATCCATGTTGCACTGAACACCAAGGGTTACTTCAATAGGAAACACACAAGAATTTGAACACAAATCCAAAATTGATGAAGCTTTGTCTGAGGTTGGAATGGTTTTGAGGACTTGCCTCCTGTTACACAAGCATTTAGCCAATTGAAATCCACCTCTTGACAATTGGACACACAAATCGTCTCTCAATTTACTGGCGAGTTCATTGGTTACACCGATTTAAAACAGTCATCCACCTAAAAGTTCTTCAATACTGTGTTGATCACTTCATTGAGCGGCCTTTCGAAGACCAAAATTTTTCCAACTTGGTGAAGACGTGCCACCAAAAAGGTGTACTCAACAGGCTCCTTAGATAAGTCATCGTCAGGCCACCAAAGGAACGTCAAGGTATCACCATCGTTTGGATCAACCATTACTTGATGGAATATGGCTTCAATGCCTGAGGAGAGAGGTACTGGTTCCTGAAGAACTCTTAAGAGGACACCAAGCAGGCTGTTAGTCAAGTCTGGACCACTGAGTGGTTGGTCGTTAAGCGATGTCCCTTTGTATCGGGTTGTGCAGTCAAACACCACTTGCAGTTTTCCTGGCTTATTAGGATTGAAGGCAGCATATAATTGACTAGTTATATCTCGACTCGAGGTTGTTCATTGTGGTTTTTTTTTAATTTTGGCTCATTTTCGCAAACCAATATTTTAATTCATTTTGACAACATATCAGTTCAACTGATACTGACATCATACACTACATCTGAAGAAAACATTCCCTATCCTCGAAATTCTGTTCAAAACATCAGGAACATCAACAAAAGTCTTCATCTGCCTGAAAATAATGCTAACTAGCACATGTGTTGATCGCCACGCACAACACGTCAACCTCATTACCAGGGTCTCTATTCCTCCCTGTTCGGGGTTGTAATGATTCACTGTGTGGGGAGTTTTATTGACGCAATGTAAACTGGTATAAAACATTTTTACTGCAAGGCTGTGCTCTAGCGGCGCCCGGTCGCCACAGGCGACTAACATTTGGTCTCGGGCGACTGAAAAAGAAAAGCGGTCGCCCGTCCGGGCGCATTGATTTCGGCTTGTGTGAAAACCCGAAACGAAACCAGCAAACGTATAGAAACGGAACGGAACGAAACAAAAAGAAACTCCATCGTGCTCCCCGGCTCCCGTTAGCCCGAAAAGCAAAAGCGCTGAAAGCACAGTGCAATCAATAGCCTGTGTGATCTGTACATTTAGGTTAAATATTAAGTTAGGTCACGGGTCTTGTTTCGCTTCGGTGGTTTCTCTTCCGGTTTATTAATATAGTACATGGCCCAGGTTTCTTGTCCATTGAACGACGCGATAAAGCGAGCAACTGATTGTAACTAACATTTTATAATTTTACTTGCTAATTTGATCACATTTGCAGAACTAAAAAATATTCGGCAGGACAACAACAAGAATTGTTCACGCTCAAACTTGTCGCGTGTGTTATGTAATATTGTTTCACATGATTTAGCACGAAAAATTATTTTTTCCTTGCCCGTGAGAAACTGTACGATTTTTGGACAAGCATGTGTTGAAGATCTAATTTTTCTATTGAAGTGGCTGATGCTTATATTTAATTTTTGTTTCAACAGTTTCAATAGTGGAGCGCGTGATTAATAAAACGAAACCGTCCTTTATGCAAATTTGTGTTTATTTAATTAGCTTCGTCCGTGGCATGCAAGATGTTTATCAGGACCATATTTGGCGACTTGCTCGCAATTTTAATCATTCGATCAAAATTTGACGAAAACGAAACTTTAATATAAGAACCCTTTTGTTTCGAAACCTATTTTAGTGGTCTTCAAAGAAATTTTCTTAGCGGTTTTAACATGTATGTGGTTAATTTATAACAGGATTTCACGATATCACAAGTTCGCCAAAATAGAGTATGTGACCGCTAAATATAGTAACTCACTTCGCCGCCCGTGCCCGGTGAAGTGAATATTGAACATGAAACTGTTTGGCAACTATAAAATGGATTATTAATTAATTAATCAATCAATTAATTATTAATTAATCAATTTGGGCGACCAACCTGGAAGGCTGGGCGACCTACTTGTCATGGTTTGGCGCCCAAAGGGCGCCCTGAAAATTTTCCTAGAGCACAGCCTTGTCCTGTTTTGGATTATAAATCAAAAGTACTTAAAAATGCTCAAATATGTTTGTACTTACCCTTTATGTTAAGTCTCACAGTGGCTTTTGCTCCATCTCCAACGTCATTATGTGGGATACATTTGTACTCGCCATAGTGCTGAGATCGATTGACGTTATTGAGAGTATACTCACTGTTGCTGTTCTCGCTTAAGAGGCTGCCATTGAAATAGAACTTGTAAATTGACACTTGTGGCACAGCAGCCATAATTATGCACTTGAATGTAACAGTGTCTCCTTCAGTGACGGTATTTTGTGCATCATCGGTCGTGAGCCTCGCACCTTCAGGTTTGTCTAAAAATTTAAATCAAATCAAAATCTCAATCTCAGTTTATTTCATCGCTCATACATTTCGCCTAGTTATAAATCATAACCTCTTTTAATAGCCTAGAGAATGCATGATAATGCAACAAGGAAGGGTTAATCTTGTATCGGTCCATGGAGTGCCTTGGGCAGAAAATATAACGCTTTTGAGATGGAAAATTGTAGCAAGTCATTAACCCATGGTTAGAATACTGACTACAGGCAAAATACTTTAACTTACACATTGCACACTGAAAAATAATTGCATTACTGCAGCAATAAAAATAACACCATCTATGTTGCTACTTGGATAGCTACTTTCAAATTCTCTTTTAATAAAAATGAGCAATTTGTGAAGTCCAGCTTTATATTTTAACGGACATGAAAACGTTGTCGCTCATGAAAAATTTTTGATGAAAATCCTTGTATTTGAGAAAGGAGACGAGTGCAACAGTGCCCTAGACGCTGCACGTGAGAGGATCTCATCTCGCAAAAAAGCGGAAACCCAATTTGAATCTAACACATTCCTTATTTTCCTCAATTGGTACCAGGATGATATATTTATATAAGAAATTCCTGAGGAACAGAGCCTCCCTTTATCAATCTAAGAGAAATCTTAAGTCAAGGGCCTCATAGGCTAGATGCCTCTAGGTAGAGGAGCATCTTCAAAATCATCACGGACTTTTGGCTCGACTCCACTACCAAAAATTAATTTTTTTGTCAAAAATCCAAGCTTCCTCAAGTTTTCTGTTGCAAAGTGCTTTAGCAGCAACAGAGTGAAAAACCAAAACGAAAAACCAGGGAGATTTTGGTCAGGTTGTGTTCATACTATCGTGACTCGTTTATTACCTGAGAGTCTGATTCAGGCTAAAGAAAACTACAATTGTGATGATAAGTATTTTAAATTTGCACGGGCAATAGTATGTAGACTGTTTGTTTGAATGAAAAACTTTAGGGAAACTGAACGAAGGTAAGAATTCATTACAAATTCCTGGATACCTCTATAGTAATTCTACCACGTTGCAAAGAAGGCGATCTCTCGGACACAATTCCGGATATTTTGCCATACTGTATTGATATCATTTCTACAATTTCTGCTTGCTAGCATCGTAATTAGATGCTGAAAGTAAATGAAAATAAACCAGTACGAGAAGAACAGGAAGTGTTATCAAGTTCTTAAAACATATTTTTGAATGCGATATTTTATATATGGTTTTAGATTTCTAAATCGTTCCCTTATTCTGTCAACCTAACTCTTTTAGCTGATCCAAAAATGTTAAAAATTTGAAATGATTTTTTAACTAGAAATGGATAACTGTGCTTGTGGTAGAATAGTATGGTTTTAGATATTGTCATAGTAAATCAACGGCCGAATTATTGCTCTTTTTTATTACACTATGTTCTAAACTTTAGACAAAAAAAAATAAAGTTCGTAATAAATAGAAATTTTAGACATAATTCTTAAAACTGTTTGTTTCAAATTGTAAGATATATATATTAAAAAAAACAATACTTCTAATTTTTGTTTGCCTAAAGGGGTTAGGTACCCTACATACTAGGGTGAAAAAAGTTGTTCTGCTTTGCCGAAAATCTCAACAAATTTTGTCTGCAATAAATTTAAAATTCTATTATTGCGTGCGCACTTGCAAACAACTAAATATTTGATAACCACAAGGTCCATCACATTAAAATTGAACACCTTTCTTTAGGTTCTGTTCGAGAGAAAGGTTATGTTAACATGTAAAAACTGTAATTCCTTAGGGAAACTGTTGCTTCGTGATAACAATTATTGCTCATATTTTATTCTATTTTTTTTCTTTGTTCTTCTCTTTGTCGTCCTTCGTCTTCACAGCTCGATTGCCGCGCAAAAATTAAATATTTTGGTTGGTTTCTGTGTGAATAGACTCTCTTAAAGTGAGATCAAATTTACTTGATTGACAGGAAGGCACTTCAGAAGTTTTCTACGGCTTAAACTTTTTGTAGAAAAAAAGTGCGTACTGATAGACAGAAATTCGCCCAATGCATCCGAGCTTTTGATGAGTTTTGACGAATGGCATGTCACACTTTCTCCACCAATGGAAAAACGTTTTGGAATTGGAAGGTACATTGTATGAAATAACAAAACTCCGAGTTTTTGTTTATTTCCTCTAAGTATCTACAATATCAACAACTAAACCTAAGCGCAACTACAAATTTTTTCTAAAGCATTTCCTCCTTACAACAGGCCTTAATTTCATTGGCTGAAGACCTAAATAAAAGTGAAATGCTACTCGTTTTACCTCGGAATTTGCCCGCAACAAAACGACCTTCAAATTTTTATTTGAAAAAGAAGTCAACGAAACAAGATAAAAGGTCGACTTCACCCTTTGCACTTGAAGGAATATTTGTTTATTTGTTTATTTGTACATTAGCTGAACATGCTGGTGGGCAATTCGTTGCAAGTGATCATGGAGGCTGTTATATGGCTGTTCACGACGACTGCTGTGAATCTGACGGAAAGGCTGAAAGTGTTGCAAAGACTGTTGGGCTGAAGTTTTCGCTACTTCAAAGCTGGCGACAAAAGTCTGCCACATTTTCTCAGCTGGAAAGACGAAGGACGAGAAGTGCATTGAAGACTGATCGGGTTTCTGTGGCCCAAAATAAGTGAAATGTGGCGACACCTAAACCGGCTTCACATAACTAAATATATTGGCTGTCGTCGTGGAGAGCACTACCTAATTTTCCCTCCAGGGGCCCGTTTATCGGAAGTCCAGGTAGTTTAACGGCCTGTGAAGTTTTTTTTGTTTTATTTTAGATGTGCGTTTCAAAATTTTTGAGAGTTATACAATAAAACTTTCAGCTAAAGAGATAAAATTAACCTGCTCCTCTGTTCTTTACATTTTTATTTTAAAACATGATTTTGCGCCCGTTAAGTTAAGAGGCTGGCAAAACGTGGAATTCTCGTCAGTTCGTCCACGGTACGAGAGCGTGAGAGCAGCAAGGCTATACTATGCAGCGGACTGCTTATTGCCAGCTGATTCGTGGCACCGAAAAAGCCAAGCGTCTGGAGCTAGCTCAACGCATCTTAGAGAGTGGCAACACTTTCCACAACATGATTTTCAGCGACGAGTGCTCGATCTCCCCTCCATTGTTCATGTGTGGGGGGAATCAGTAGACAGGGTGCCACCAAGATTTGCATATTTGATGGCATCATGGGTGCCGATCTCTTTTGCAATGTTCCAGAGACGACGCTTATTCCGTTTATTACTATTATTAAAGTTACGAGCACCAGTTCATACAGGATAATGACCTGAAGCACACGCGTAGGCGAGCGAAAACTCTCTTCGACGAGGAAAAAAATCAACTGGTGGCGTACTCCCTCTGATGAGTCCTGACCTTAAGCCCATGGAAACCTTGTGGCGTGAACTCAAGTTCTACTTGGAGTGAAAAGTAAAACCTCACAACAAGCAGGAGCTTGTAAATTGTATAAAGAAGTTCTGGGAGAGGAAGGTCACGCCGGAGAAGCGTGCAAAATAAATAGAACATATTTTGCGAAAGGTTGTTTCAGCTGTGTTGGAGGCTCGAGGCTCGAGGTGCTGAAACAAAATATTACAAGCGGCTCTTTTGGGAGCCACCGCGCCCTGCTCCACCTAATTATCTATTGACATTGCACAGTAGTTGGCTAAAAATGGCTCTTAGGAGGCACCAAATCTAATGAAAGTCAATAACCAGTGAGATATTCGTATCACAAAGAACTCTCTACAGTATTGATATAGTTAAACAGTGGGATATAATTAAAGAAACTTCGTTTCTCACACTAAAATCCTAAAATAAAAACAAAAAAAGCTGATATGAAAAAGATTATGATCAGTTTGCGTAAAGCGAAACGAGAAGAGAAAAAAGGAAAGGAAGAGGGACTCAATTATGGAAGGTTAACCGTTAAATGAAATAGAACATGTTGATATCACGAAGATTATGGTCATAATAATAAGCAAAGTTTACAGAAACGGTCTTGGCGTCCTTTCCTTGTGTTAATCATGAAGAATGACGACGTAACCTGTGACACGATTTCGTTCTTATGAATGCGAATCGTTATCGCATCAAATGAAATTTATATCATATGTAAGGTTAGATCTTAAAGTTTAACTAATTTTTGGTTTTGAGGATGTAAAATTAAAAGTTCACACAAATACGGAGAAATTGTTCAGAAAGCGACTTGGTTTCCACTGGAGTCTCTGCTGGGAACGGACGTAACTTTGAAAATACTATTTCCCAACACCATCTTTTTCTCGGGGTTTGAAACTAATGTCATCATGAAGCAGGACAAAAGAAAACTGCTTTTGATTATCTTCCAATAGCAATAAAAATACTTTTCGGACGAGTTAAGAATTATCAACGAACATGCTTTTCTTAATTTAACGACCTGAAACAAAACTGTAAAGTAGTAAGTTAAAGTAGTAAGTGCTTAGAAAACTGTTTCACCAAACAACGCCTACGCGTGTCTGTTGTCATTATAATTATTTTAATGACAATAAGCACGCTAGTGGACGCCAAACTTAGTTATTGTCAACGTAAAGTTGCAAACAACAGGGTAGTTTGCATGATAATGTAAACTAAACCGGCCAATCAGATTACAGACTTTTCGATCTGTCTTAGCCGTAAGAGAAGTGTAAAAGCCCAAATAGTCCGCTTCAGCCACTCTCATTACCACCATTAAAATTGAAAATCTATCATGGAAAACAAAGTTGTTAAAATCATCTGGAAGCGTGGACAGTATTTGAACCTTTACCGTTTGACAATCATCAATTCGTCCCCACTTAAAGAGAGGCAGAAAGTGCAGGTGATTTGGGCAAGACTTGTAAGGAGCAGATGGCGGTTGTGGATAGGTACCCGCTGGAAGTGGAGGTTCAGCAAACTTTCACAGAGAGCGATCTGCCGCCACGCCAAGCAAGAGCAAAGAAGGAATCGGTAAGTATTCGTTCAACAGACTACCTTTAAGTTTGACATACCTATACTTGTTAACTTTTTAATGCATTTTGATCTTACTCGCAGATTCCAGAGTCACCCTTGGAAAAGACAAATGAAACAGCGGGAAAGAAAGGTTACAAACAGAAAGGAAAAAAAAAGGAAAAACCTCAAGGAAAAGTAAGTATCACCAAACACAGACTTTTTCAATGTTTGTAGAATTTGTTTCTAAAACTTCACAAGCCTCGTATGTGTTTTGCGGCAACGCCAATCGCTGACTCATTTGCAACTAAAACTTACTTATGGGTATTGATCATTAGATTTTATATTCAGCATCACCTTCGAAGGAGGCAGAGTTGATTCCTTTTTCGGAATCCTCAGATTCTTGATTATTCAAGCAATAAACTAACGCTTTTTATCTCGAAATTTCACCGAACTTTTGTTTCAGAGCAAAAATTCGACAAAATAGCGCTCTTTGTTCAACTGAACTTTCGCTCAAAAAGCCTCGAATTATCATTCGAACTTTTGCACGAAATTTCAACGAAAGTTTAGTAGAGCAAAACACGAAATTTGTGCATTTCCCTTGCGTTACTTTTACACAGTACTGTACATTTAATATTTAAAGGTGAAGTGAATATTGTTGAACGATCTCCAAGACGAAGTTGAAGCGATTATTCATCAATCGTCACCAAGCCTGAGGCGAATAACTTCTGTTATTAGTATAATTGCTAAGATGCTTTCAAATTCTGCTGTAAGTGTTTTTTGTAAATTGGAAATTGGAAATTCTGATGCAATAGTTTAGATTACTTGTATCAAGATAAGAAGCCAGTTTCAAACATGTGTGCAAATCTTAAGCATGCAGTTTTAGTTTCAGCCAATTTTCGCATCTATGAGCTGATCTCAGCTATCACTAAAAAAAACATGTAATTTCTCAGCTGACAGAATTTTGATCAATTTTCAGCTTTCCATTAAGCTCCAACAAGAGCCCTCACACAGAATCAGAATTTGCGCTAGCCTTGTGCACTAGTCAAACGGAGTAAATTTTGAGATGTCACAATGATTCGGAAATGGCTTTAAGCCATTTTCAGAATTAAACACAGTCCAACTGAAGCAATGACTTATTAAAAAATGTCACATCCTTCTGTGCAAAATAACATGAGCTATGATTCTACGTAAATTCAATTGTCCCAACCAATAATTGGGACCAATGCATACAAAGCCGAAAAGGATTTGATGTGGAATTCTGTTTCCTTTCACTTTTGAACAGATTTGTCAGAAATAGTAAATTAAGGTTAAAATATACTTACACTGAACTACAATTGATGTGTCAATAGAAGTGACTTCCACTGAGTTATTGGCTCGACATGTGTATTGTCCTGCATCTGTTCTTTTTATATTATTGAACTTTAAAAGCGTAGCTTTCTTCCCTGAACTTTCCATTACTCCATTTCTAATCCATGTCACATCCGGCAATGGTTTCCCAGAAGCTTCACAGGCCATGGTGACAGGGGATCCTTCAATGTAATATTTTCCTCTCAAAGAGATGTTTATAAGTAGTGCTTCTG